CAATAGTCATTGCAAACACCAATGCATGAATCAAAATAGAATTCTCAAACATATTCTAAAAATATAAAAGGAGACAAAAGAGAGTAACAATAAAACAAAGAGACATACAGTGAAACAATCGCTCTAAATCCAACCACATTGCAATTAATAATTATAGTAAATTTTAATGCAGTAAGTTCTTCACGAAGAAATGACAATTTTATGGTAAAGTAAAACACACCTTCTCTGCAGGCTATCAGTGAGGGACAGATCACCTTAAATATATGGGCACAGATAGGCTGGAAATGAGTAGGGAAATGGTATGCTATGCTAAGTAAACAGAGAAAGTAGTGAGAGTAATCAAACAGCTAAAAACACACTATACTACAACACGATGTTCATTTTTTAAATAAAGAAAAGGATGCAGCAGAATGTGGGAACGGCGTAGGCAGAGGTTTCCAGTCTGAACTGTTTGGGCTGGATGACATCACTGAAAAGGTGACAATTAGTTAACTCTGCATAGATAGGATGACACAATCATAATTAGTTTTATAACTCAGACTGCTAATAATGCGACTGCTAATGATAGAGATGATAGACAACCCCCGGCTAGTTCCCCAGGCAGTATACAGCCAGGTCAGTTCTTTAAAGTATTTATCCTTGTCTTTGGGGCATTCGTCTGACCATCACTTTTTTTGTAGCAGAAAGATACAGAGAAGAAACTGAGCCTCTCATCTCACGTTGTGGGAGAGCTGGAAGCAGGGGTGCTGAGGAGACGTCTTGATGGGTAAGTGCTTGTGTCTAAGCACAAAAACTTCAATACCAATATCCAGAATCTACATAAAAGCCAGGCAGGTGTGTTAGCACACCGCTGTCACCTTAATGCAGATGGAACAGGAGCAACAGGATTGCAGTGAGCTGCGTGGTGTCACACCTGATGGAGATGTATAATTAACTCCTGAGATGGCTAAGGCCTGACCTATGCTATGATCACGCAATGATTATCAGCTGCCTGCATATGCGTGAATCTATGGGCAGTGCCCACCTGGCAGTTCGGGGTTGGCAGCCCATGCCTACTTAAGGGCTGGGAGAAGTTTGCCCGAGGAGAGAGAGGGAAAGAGAGGAGAGAGAGAGAGAAAGAGAAAGAGAAGGAGATAGATTGTTGTGAATAAAGTCCTGAAAACTGCTGCAAGAAGAGCTCTGGGTGTTGCGTTTTTTCTTGCTGGTCAAGGGTGGACGTGACACAGGATTCCTGGCGTTCACTGGCCAGCTAGTCTAGCCCACAGTGCAAGTTCCAGCTTCAGTAAGAGACCTTCTATAGAAAACAAACAAACAAACAAATTAATTAATTAATTAAGCAATTGATTCATTAATTACTGAATGAGTGAGTGAGTAGAGAGTGATCATAGGAAACACTCAAAGTTCACCTCTGGCCTACACACAGACAGAGAGAGATAGATACATACATTGTGTATCCCATCCCATCCCATCCTCCCTCTCTCTCTCTCTCTCTCTCTCTCTCTCTCTCTCTCTCTCTCTCTCTCTCTCTCTCTCACACACACACACACACACACACACAGAGTAATCTGTTGAAAATATTGATTTAGATATGTCAAATTAAACGGATTCTGTTACATTTGAAAAGAAAAAGCATTACTGGAGAGTTTCTACTATTTTAGAACTTGTATGTTGTGTTCTTTGATAGGTTGTGTGGATACATCCATGAACAAGAAAAAAAAAACTGATGAACAGAATGTTTCATGGAGAGAAAATGAGAGACCGCTAGAAAGATATGTAATTGGGCGAGTTATAAAATGTATGCTCAGTTACATGAAGTGGATTAAGAAAGGAAGCAAAGATTTGAAAGAGCGACAGGCAAGCACGTTCAGCATGCGGGAAGCCATCCGATGAGTCACACAACCAGGTTCATAGCGTATGAGAAGACCAGGAAGATAAGGCCTAGGACTTGGGTGACGGTGTCCACATAGGGGATGCGGCAGTGTAGTCAGACATAGTGCTTTAGGAGCAGTTGGGGGTATAATCAGACCTCCAGTTTAAATTAAGCTTGGTAGAATCACATGAAGGATTGGGTGTGTTAGATAGGAGATGCTAACCCACAAACTTTGGTGTCCATGTCTACAGTAGACAAGAGTCCTGAATTATGAGAAGCCAGTAGCGTGTGCATTTGAGAAATTCTTCTTAGGTGGACTCAACATGGAATTATGGAAAAGCAAACTACTATTTATGAGTTGGAATTTACTATTTATGAGTTGGAATTGCAGAGCATTTAGCAGTGAGGTGGACAGTATGGCTGATGGTCTAAATAAGAAAGGAAAGAGGAATTTGGCATGGGGAGGCTCTAACAGGAATATGAGTTTCTGTTGCTCACATGTATGTAAGATGAGCACCAGATGTAAATTATGTCAAACGTGTGAGAGATAAAGAAATGGAAGCCTCAGAAAGAGGCCAGCAGGAGAAATGGATTAAAAATCCTGTCCAGGTGGGCCTTGTTTGAAATGATGGAAGCAGAAGAGATCTTCTAGGAATTATAAAAACCAGAAGAGAACGGCTAAGGACAGAACACGGGACACAGACAGTAACATGTAAGGGAGACGAGATGCCAGTAGCCAAAAAGAGAAGGATTGATTCCGTTAAAAAAATGAAATATACATTACAACATATTCTTTAATAGACATAAAAAATAGAGATTCAGTCAGGTGTTGAGGATGCATGCCTTTAGTCCCAGCACTTGGGAGGCAGAGTCAGGCGGATCTCTGTGAGTTCGAGGCCTGCCTGGTTTAGAAGTGCTAGTTCCAGGACAGGTAGGGCTGTTACACAGAAAAACCTTGTCTCAATAAACCAAAATAAATAAATAAATGGAAAAAAAGAGCAAAAGGAATAATAAGTAAAAATGGAAATTGGAAATTTAACTAGAAATAACAGGGGAATAGACAAAACTAAATATACTGCCAGAAATACCACTCAGCCTTTTTTGGGGAAAAATCAAATTATAATTCTACATTATTGTTCATATGAAAGTTAAGTCTAGCTAGAGAGAAAAAATTTCATTTATAAAATGTATACTAAAATTGGCTACATAAACAATTGTTATGTTTTTGTAATCTCAGAATAGAGATTATACCTTTAATACATGCACACAGTACATTTAATACATAAACAGAAAGAGTGTATTTTTAATACAGAACATCACGACAGAAGAGAAAAGGTGATGCATTTGAGAAAGAACATCATACATAAACAGTGTCAATCTAGAAAAACCATCAATCTGGAAAAACAAAAAAGGACATCACAGGGAAAATAATGAGCAAATGGTGCCTCCAATCTATAGCTAGCGGGTAGTGTGGATACGAATAGGAGTGAACAATTTGCCACCCTCACCCCAAGCTTTAGCTTTGTCATATTTTTAACTCTGCTGTTTACCTCTCGTGTGTTATAGAAAAAAGTAGGAAAAAAATAAAACACAACAACGTCAAACCAGAAACAAAGAAAAGGGTACATTTCCTTCAGTGATTTTGTCGTTTTGATGTCTGTACACCAATCCCATTCAGAATCTAGGAAGAAAAACAGACAACTGATCATCTGATAAGACTGATCCTGGGAAAGAAGAAAGCTCGTGGAAACCGAGAAGTCGGATACACAGCCGTGTCAGAGAGATCTAAGTGTACGATCTCAAATTCCTCTGTTTATAGGATAAAAGATCCGTTAAAATCCACTAGTGTGCTTACCATAGACGTTACAGCCTTTCCTGTCTGATCTTTTCAGGAAAGTTATCTCTGGTATGTAGAGAAGCTACATGCTGAGCCTATTAATACTCTGGGAAAGTTTGGTGTTGGTGCGTTTCAAATCAATGTTATGTTTCATACTAAACCGCCCTATACTTTCACCCTGACTGCAAGCTGTTTTGGACATGGGCAATAGAAACTGATGTGGCGTGGGCTGTACTTCAGGCGGAGTAGACTTGGCTATATAACGCAGTGACAAACATACTTCAGAATCTGTGTACCGTTTACTCATGAGAAACACCAGAAGGCTTTCTGAAAGCTATCTCTCAACTTGTGACTCAGGGTCCAAAAAACGCTTTCATCTGTCAAGACCAGCTCATTGCCCTCCCTTCCTCCACCTACTAACTCCTTGTCATTGAGGCTCAAAGGTATCCCACCCCAAAGGACCCATCCCTGTAATAAATACTTCTTTCTAAAATGAAGGAGACAGATGTATATAATTGACACAGAAGAGAATGCAAGGACAGAAGATTTTTTGGTATTGTGATGAGTTGGGTCTGGGAGGTTATTTTCTCGTTACGTCTTCTCAATCCAACTTCAAAGGAGCACATGGTCTGCAATTTTCTTATGCGACCAGGTAGAGGAAGATGTGTAGTAAGTGTCTAGCCACAATACATACTTTGGTCAAGAAGAGAGCTGTGTGCTTCCTGTCATGGATCAAATAAAGTCACACCTTTATGTTCCTTAATGGGAACAACTCGATCTGCCTCCATTTGGTACATGTAGGTCAAGATCCGGTGTTTGTCCTTTCTCCTGGGTGTGTTTAGCTTTTCCAGGTCAGGTTTCTTATAAACCACATTGATATGTTACCCACCTAATCAGGAATTAAGAAAATCCAGGGTGAATTTTCTGAATTGCAGAGGGGAAAAGTAAGAGCATTGATGTTTAGTGAAGGTATTGCCCTATCCCCAGTATGTGGAACACAGTCCTTATCTTATGCTATCTATCCTAAAAATAAAGTCCTGATGCTTTTAGAAAAGTAACCTCTTAAAGATAATAATTTCTATGCTAATATAATTATAAATGCATTAATTTATGTAATCCCTGAGTAAAAACAAAATATACTTAACTTTTCTTGTTGGTACTTAATAAAATAATACAATTATTCTATCCGCATGAAAAATCGTCCATTGTCCATTCATTCCATGAGGTTGTAACATAAGGTCAGAACTAATCAAAACGGAGCTTGGGGTGTAGTAATTACTCAAAGACAAGTACTGTTATTATTATCACTCATATTAAGAATCAGTTATATATCAAGTAGACAGAAGCTATTTGTTGGGCAAAACCCACATGGGGGTGCCAGATCTTCAAGTTGATTTACAGAGTCACAGTGTGCTGGGAAACAGGAGTCACGGCGCTGGCAAGATTTGATCTTTTGATGGTTGTGTGGAACAGCTGTCCCATGTTCTTCTGATACCACATTAGAAAGTGTTATTCTGGAAAAAAAAAAAAAGAATCTTTGAATTTTCTGACCTGCGAAAGCATCATCCCAACTCTGCTTTTATCCTCATGTAGCGTGTCTCTCTCTCTCTCTCTCTCTCTCTCTCTCTCTCTCTCTCTCTCTCTGTATATTTGATTTTCTCTGTACCACTGTCTCTAGCTCTCTCTTCATGTTTGCCTTCATATTTTCCATTCTCAAATATGCTACAGGCATATTCAAATAATGCCCATCTTAATGACTTCATTTAATTTAATTACCTTCGTAAAGATCATATTTCCCTATAACCTCATATATTATGATTACAACCAATGGTAGAAGCACAAATTGACACATAATCTTGTTGCATTAGTGATTAATATTTTGTTAATGTATTTTTCATTCAAGCTGCATATTTCATTAATAGACAATAGTTATTATCAATATTTTCTGGAATTATTTGTATTAGAAATCATATATGCATTGTTTATTTTGTGGGGAATAGTTATGTTAGCATATAGCACAGTACTGCCTAGTGCTCAAGAAATTCTTCTGTTGCCTCTTGTGTCCCAGAGTTCAAGATACCATCTGTTTAGGGTGTTTCACAGTAAACAATTGGCTATAAAAGAACAAAGAATCAGATGCACACAGCATACCTTTATAGTGGTTGTCTCTAAACAGGGGATCTCCATGCTTTAACTATGCAAAAACTATTGTTTCACCCAAATCTTCTACTAAGAAATTGTTTCATATTGTTTTTTTTAATTGCTCGGTTTAAATAAGCATTGAAAGAATAAGAGCCAGTAAATAATCATTGAGGCATTAATTTAATTAAAATCAATATCTTCATCATTTTTGGTGTTTATTGATGTTGAGTCCTATTATTCACTTGAGTAGGTGAAACTTCCTTATAATTTACAAGATGGTGAACTGGAAACCAGTGCTGTGGTGCACAGACATTATTCTAGGTCACGGATATTGTCAAACAAATAGTCAGTTAGTTTCACAAGAACTATAAACATAGTATTTGGGAATAAAAGACACAGGACTGTTTTTTTTTCTTTAAACTGCACTGGCTTTGCTTGCTCTGGCTAAAGTGTCCCCATCAAGGAAGATGGGGTTGCCCTGAAAGCAGTCATCTGAAGAACAGAAAATTACCCCCTGCCCAGTTCAGAATGCTGTACGTCACACCTTTTGATAATCTGCTGGCCCAGGATGGCATTAATACAAATTGTCTTCTTATTTCTACCTGTATCTTGTATTTTTGTTGAATAGTGAAATATATATATTCATAAAGAATAGTTAATTTAGTAAACGAATGAAAATCATAGGGTGGGTACTACATTGTAGCTCAATCAGCATTTTCTGTCCTTTAAAATGAAAAGTTCAAATTAATCATCCTGTTCTTTTTCTGAACTCTTTTTCATGTTTACACTTCAGAGCATTATTAGAATATAAAGTTGTAATTTCAATTTTATTAACACCACGGCATAAATATGGACCTTCACCGAGTTATCTGTTTTAATGTAAGTAAGTCTCTATTCTGTAGCATTTCAATCAAGGTGGGAAGATAATTTAAGAGTGTAATCAAGTCTGTATTTTGGCTAGTTATCAAGTAACAAGTCTAAAAAGACTGGCTAGGTACAGAGTCAATATACAATATATCTATTTACTGATTGAGAGAGAAATTGATAGTTCAGATTCTAGGATGACATTATTTGGATAGAAGTCTGGGTTTTGTTCCATTTTACCGGTAAAGGGATTTTTGCTTCACCATTAAAATAATACAAAACTCTCCAAATCCCCATAATGGTGTCATTTATGAAATGTGTGTTTGTAGGACAGGCTTTGATCAGAGAAGAGGACCAAAGAGAAGGGGTTTTCTACTTTAATTCCTGCCATCCCGGGAAAGCAGGGACAGGATAAATGACCGTATGTCAGAGGAAAAGTAAACTTAAAAGTTAAGCAAGTATAGATAGGTTTAGAGCATGTAACCCAAATAAGATATTGTATTGAACATATATACTTAGGTCATTCAAATTTTACCTTGTGACCAAGTGAGAAGGCAATGAGAATTTTGTAGGCACACACACAGAATATAGTCATGAACTACACTTCTTACTAAAACTGTATTTTGGAGGCTCCTGTCAGATATTATAATGAACATATAAGTAGATCATAAAAATCTAAAAGCAGTACTCCATGGTATATTAAACACAAGCAGTGTTTCTCACAACTGCCAAAAACATGGTTAATGGTCAAGATGTGTGTGTGTGTGTGTGTGTGTGTGTGTGTGTGTTTATTATCTAGACATCTGGATCAAGAAGGCCCAAGAAATCTTGATCATGACTGGTCTTCTCTGTATAGAGTCATTCAACATACAGACAAAGAGAGAGAATGAAGGAAATACTTTTCAACATCTGACAGATTGGGAACACTATCAATAGCGTTTTGTAAGTCTGTCAGGCAAGAAAGCACCACACAACCAATAATTAGACCAAGCTGAGCCCCCCCCCTTAGAAATTCAATCTAAAACATAGTCTTTAAAAATATTATTTAGAACTACAGATTTACTTATTTTAGAACTTATGGAACCATAGGGACTCCAATGGGAAGAAGGCAAAGGGAACAACAGAGTTATCCAGGTAGAGGCATTCCAACTAGAATTCTGGTTTCTGTTTGCATGTCCAGACACTGTCCATTTCCTCAAGGTTTTGTAACTGCTCATTATTGTAGAAGCATGCGTGACAGAAGGAGGCCGCCATCGACTTTCTGCACAGCAGCACAGGCACAGAGGTAGTGCATCTACAGCTGCAGTACATGCATGGGAAGTGCATGCTTTTTGCCATTCTCCCTGCACAAATGTAAGTTCGTTGGGCCAGAGAGAGCACTAAGCAAGAGAATCATTACAGCTAGCCTTTATTTCCAGGGTGGTGTAGATTTTGTCATTTTGGTTGGTACCATTCAGGTGTGGTTCAATAGAAAGACAGAATGGACACGGGAGCTGGGTACCAGCCGTGGCAGTGGAGTTCCCATGTGTTCTGCAAGCGTCAAAGTGTGCCTCCTCACACAGACACCAAGTCATCACACGCTAAGGAATGAGGCTGGTGTCTAAGGGTGAAAACATGTATGCTTTCTATTTTTCATTTTCACGAGCAATTGGTGTTCTGCGCAAGCCGCTGCACCTAACATAGAGAAGTTTATTTATTTACTTGACCACTGATTCACTTATTGCCTCAAATGTGTGTAGTATCTGTGATTGTGCACGCGTGCATTCACGTGGGTGTGGACACATGTGGATGGGGAGATTTGATAGTAAGATGTTGATATTGGTATCTTCCTTGATTTCTCCCCACTTTACATATTGAAGCAGGATCTTTTTAAACACAGAGCTTGTCCACTCAGCTAGTCTAGCTATCCAGCTTGCTATAGACATCCCTCTGTGCCCATCAGTGCTGGGGATACAGGTGAGACACTGAGGCCCCTGGCATTTATTTGGGTGCTATGGATGTGCACTCAAGTCCTTAAACTTGCTTACCCATTAAACCTTTTATGCAATGAGCCATTTTCTCAGGTCCTCACTCAGAGAGGTTTTAACTTATTTTGTCTACTGAGAGTAAAATTTGACTTAATGCATATTTATGGATTTTAGCTAGTATCAACCAAACAAACAGAAAGTGTTGTTTCAAATATATTCTTGTTACTGTGATCAAATACCCTGAAAGAGCAGATCCAGGGAGAAAGGCCTTGTCTTGGCTCACAGTTTAAGGGCACAGTGCATCTTAGTGGGAAATGCTGCTGACAAAAGCTTGAGACAGCTGTTCACATTGCATCTGCAATCAAGAAGCAGAAATGATGAACGTTTCTGCTTAGTTAGTTTCCACCTTTACATTCAATCTGTTGCCTAAACCCTTGAAATCATGTTGCTCCTCCTTAGAGTGGATATTCCCAAAAGAATAAATATGATCAAGATAATCTCTCACAATTATGCCCAGAAAATACCCTCAACTATTTTCTGTCATAGGTGTGCCTGGAGGCTTGTCTCCTAAGTGATACTAGATTCTTGACAAATTGACAATCAATAGTAACCATCACAAGGGTAAAACTAGCAAGAAAAGAATATATAAATGTTTTACCTAGGGCTATTTTAAATTTTATGTTTTTAATTATGTGTTGTTTTGCCGACTGTGAGGGTAGCTTGGTGAAGATACACATGGATGCTCAGTAGCCACATGCATATTTTCACATCTCTATGCATGTTAAAACCAAAGCCAAAGTTTCCATACTTGAAGTGAATAGTTAGAATACACCTTGTATTGTCCATTATACCAAAGGTCTAAGAAAAATAAACTTGAGAGGTCAGATTTATTGTGGTTCATGGTTCCTGTGCATGATCATTTATATTGAACACCATGGCAGAAAGCAAACAGCTCAAGAAAGAAGAAAGCAGATACCTATGGGAATTCCGGAAGGAGGAAAAGAGATTAGGGGTAGGGAAAAAAAAGGAGGAGGAGGAATAGAAGGAGGATGAGGAAGAGAGAGATAGAATATAGTATTCTTATGGACACATCTCTAAACCTTCAATTAAGTCCCACTTCCTGACACTTCTCATTGTATTATTAGAATGTGAACCCATCAGTATGTTAATAGGTTGATGAGGTCGCAGCTCTCATAATCTAATCACTTCCCAAAGCCCAGTAGCTAGCAACTAAGTCTTTACTAGCAGACCTAAATGATTATCTTCGTGGACTATCTTTATGGAGTATGGCTTTATTTTATTTTAATTGCAAGCAAATGATTTTAGCAGGTATATTAGCATCCAGGCCTTCAGAGTTCTCACTAATCTCTGCATCAGACTTGTAAGCTGTATAGTTCTTAATGCTATTCAATAATTTCAGAGAGCATCAGTGTCTGCAATCCATAGACTAGGTATTCTTTTCACAAGGGAAAGACAATAATAATAAAAAATAAAAACAAAAACAAAAAACACAAAAACCTAATGATGGAAAAAACCAAACTATTGATAGAAAAGAAAGAAACCTTAAAGACAAAATGACTGGAAGAAACTGTAGAGAACATGTGGAAATATTAACAGATAAGAGTATAGTCTTTCAAAAGCCAAGATTTTGAAGCTAAGTAAACAACACCTTGTTTGGAAGGTTTGTGGCTAGACGTAAGATTTGTTTTGAATGCACATTTCATAAATACAAGTATAGAGCAAAACAGGTCCGGCATCCCCTACACCTACACATTGAATAACAATTGTATAATAAATTCAAGACCGAAGTGTGTGGATAGCTAAAGTCTTTTAGGAGTTTCCCTTTTCAACTGCCATCCAAAGTATGTGGAGTTTGTTTTTATGGCTGCCAGATGACTTCAAAACCAATTAGTATTAGTAATAATTTGTAAATAATTGTAAATAAATTTTGCATTTATAGATTGTATTAATAACATGCATATAAATTAATCATTAAGATGTTATATATTTGATTAGCATGCATGTATTATATATAATATGTATTATATAGGCAATTGTTTTCTGTAACAACAATTAATGAAAAAAACCATGAATTTGAAAGCAATTAATGGGGAGTATATGGGAGGGGTTGGTGGGATGAACAACAGGGGGGAAATGATATAATTTCATAAAATAAAATACTGGCATGGTGATATAATAAAAAGGTGATTTAGCAGTTTATATATTGTTTCAAGAAATGTTGAATGGATAAGAGTCACGAAGTGTAATTATTAAGTTATTCAGAGAATAAAACCTGCTATGTCCCCTGTTCCACTCCAGGTACAAGTCATGCCAACAGGCGCAAGGAGAAGATGCTTCCTGGCTTCTGACCATGGCCATTTTAGGTTTCCATTTATCCAGGAAAATTTATCCAGTGCTTTCTATTCTCCACCCTTTGTTCTGTACTACATCAGGGGGCCAAACCAAGATGGAAGATCTCAAAAGACTAGTACTAGTTTGAATTGCATCACGTCTTTACTAAGATTAGTGTTCCTTAGCTGAAAAAAGGAAGTGGAGAAAAGATGTAAAATGATTAGTTAAGGGCTAAATAATACTTCATGCCTGCTGAGAGACTTGCACGGACAAACGCAATACTCAGTGATTCTTGTCTGCAATGTCATCATGGAGATAAACCGAGATACACAAACATTTCATCGCACGGAACACTGATCACTAAGAGGTGACAACCAAGGTGGCAAACACAAATACTGCTTCTAGACATAGTGATAATGCTATACTGCACGTATGTCACATATAATAAAATGCACAATTTAAAAATGACAAGTATAGGCAGGATGGAAATGAGAGAATCAACAGGGTAAAAAGCACTATTCTCTATCCAAATCGCCCACCCTTCCTACTTAGCCCACGTGACTCAATAATAAAATATGAAAGAATTGTCTTTCTGCAACTATGTATCACCTAAGATACTTTCAGCATCGAGTCACAGAAGCCCAGCAGAAACTGTCGCAAACAATTATCAGTCTTATTAGGAAGGAAACCCAAACATATACATAGTCTATACACAAAGCATATATGAAGTCTAGTGTAATTATCTTTTGCTCCTTGCATGATTCTCTTTGTTTCATAATTTTCTATGGTTGAGGAATACAGATAATTCAAGAAACTTAGATCCCACTACAGGATAAAATAAAGGACACCTCCAGCATAATGAGGGAAAGAAAATTTCGGTGGCAGAGAGCTATCAGATTATAGTGGGTCAGAAGGATGATGGACCCAAGAGCACCTTTGTGAGATAAAAGAGACCCTTACTGGTATAGTTAGCTCATTTTTCTGAATGCGCCGGCATATTTCAAAGCATTATATTAACCAGGGAAGTAAAATAATCACAGTGTATAGAATTCTAGAAAGATGACCAAAAATGAATATAATGTCTAGGAAAAAGCAGAATTAGATCACATTAGAATTCTCTATAGGTCCATTTCACAGCATATGAAATATTCATTTCTCCCTAAACTTATTCCCAATGAATTATTTTATTACAATTTGGAAAATAGGTATCAGGTGAGGTGACTTGCTTCTATCTATACATATACATGTATCCTAAAAATCTGTTAAATTGTTCCTTTTCTTTCAGTAGTTTATAGAAAAAGTTTTATAGGATAGAAAATAAAATTCACCACACAAGTATAAACATTATTCTGGTGAATTATAACGACATCCATAAAATTTATGTGCAAGGTAATCTGCTAGATGCTTATTCAAACGTGGAAGAGCAAAGTAAAACATTAAACCAAACATCTGGGACCAGAATCTATGCAGTCAAGAGGGCTGTGTATTTGCATGTCAATTATCATCGTGCCCTTGAGGAACTCTGGGTTTGAAAATACAAATATTTCTCCCATTCATTAACTTGGCATGAATGTCCAAAATCAGTAGTAGATGGCAGTTTACGGTGAGATCTAATTCATGTTGAAGACTTATTCATTTCATGTTTATAAGGCTTGTTTGTTTGCCACCCTCCTCCCGGCCCCTTGGCAAAAGTATCATCCTAGATACCTTTGTAGTTCTTCTGAAATAAAGTATAAAATTTCAAGTAGGTTGATGCTTCTAAATGTGAATATTTAATTAAGCAAGTCAAAGTTTCAGATGGCTAAATTTTTATCTTGGTTTAGTCTTTGGGGTTGAATAGTACAGGAATCAACTTGTACAAATTTATGCCAAAAATAGCTAAAACAGAGAAATTGGGAAAACTGTCTCCTGAGGAGCCATTGGCGTCTCAGTGCCTTGCATGTCTGAAGCACTGTTGCTGCCAAGCCAGCCTAGAGCCGGACGTGGAACTCTGTGGACTCTTCTCAGCTGATGCAGTCAGCAGTTACTCGTTTTGCTAATTGTCTCCTTACCGGCACTGCAGTAGTTGGAGGTCTTTGTCAGAATAACCAGAAGAAACAACTTGGAGGATGGAGATCCAGTCTGGCTTCCTTCAGAGGATACACCAAGGAAATCAAAGCTTGTCAGCTGGTGCTTGAAGTTAGAGCTTGGTCTAGTCACATCCAAACTCAAGCAGCAGTGACCGTGACCGTAAGCCCACCCCACCTCTAATTGTCTACTTCCTCTAGCTATGTCCGACCTCCTAAGTGTTTCACGGTCCCAAACAACACTCGTAGCCTGGGCCAGCCTTCCAAACACAATAGCCTATGAAGTTTGTTTCACCAATATACCACAACAGCTACTTAACCCCATCACTTCTTTCTTACGGCAACAGAATATACCAAAATTCTAGAAGTTTTACATATTCATTCAACAAGCTCATGTAAAGATTTTAACTCTTTACATAAAATTACTAAAAGCTTTTGGCCCGTCATATGTCAGACATATATTCTTTTGGGACCATGTATACGCCATAAGAGCATGAAGCCAGACATCTTAGATAAACATAGCTGCTATTTCCTGTTCTGAGTATTCTGTCTCTGAGGCTTAGGAATCAGTCCCCAAATGAGGCAGGATCAGGCTGATCTTACTGTTTATTTCTATAATTTTGCTAGCATGTTTTATATGTCCAACACTGGGGGAACCCTTAAAATCAGAGAACTTACTAAATAAATGAGCGGAAATAGGATGGCCTTGGTAATGACAGGCTTACATAGAACAGGGTTTCCAGTATAGTTCAACAAAATAAGACATGTTGTAGTGGATGTACATCTTGTCAGTGCCCAAGAAGAGGCATCTCACTAATATCTGTGAGGCTGACAGTGTCTTCTTGTGAAAGACATCTACAGCTGCGCTAAAATGATGGCACCACATAGTGGTGCACCTGACCAAGCAGATCCTAGTGAAACACAGTACAAGCGACCAAGACTCAGACACTCATGTACCCATAGACAATATTGAGGTGTCTAAAACAAGTCGTGAAACGTTGATGTGTGTTTTGATTTGAATTCTGTAAGAATGTAAGACTGAAAAATCAAATGTTGATGTTGGTATCTTTCAATGACTGTGACCACTAGCAACTTCTCATTTGCATTTCTCCAGGGCAGAAAGTGTAAAAGGAGAGATACCCCTCTTTCTCAAGAACTTTAGGAAAATCTCTCAGGACCCACTGTCATAGGAACAATGATCACAACAGACAGAAGGATGAAATAGTTTAATTGGTTAGGGATTGAGAAAGGTTGCACTTGCAACCCACCTAAATAATAGTATGGAGGAGAGGGAGAGAGACAAGGAGGAGAGGAGAGGTGGAGGAGGAAGGGAAGAAGGAGGATGAGGGAGAGAGGAAGGAGGAGGGGGTGAAGGAAGGGAAAGATGAGGTGGGGAGAGAGAGGAGGAGGAGGTGATTCTTAAGATACCATTATTATTATTAGCAGAACGGCCAGGCAAACCTAAGAGAAATCTGTAGAGTGGAAAGGGTACTTTTTCAGAGTTAACTATATTCTTTACATTTTTCATTATACAGTCAAAGAAACATAGCTCTTCCTGTTTTAAATAGTCACCCCATGATTCTGCTCTATCAGAAAAGTAACTTGAACTAAAGGAAAATCTTAAGCTGTACTTGTCTTTTTTCCTGGATTATATAAGCATTTGAAAATAAAGAGAACGAGGACTTTTTAAAAACAATGTGCAGAGATATTTTCATAGACTTTCGATAATCTGATAAATTAAGTAGACACACTTAGATAAGTATTTATGCATACAAGCTCCTGCTAGAGATGGAGAGGTTCATGAATTCAGTGAGTGAATATTTCAGAGCCCTCTTTGCAAGAAAACTGGTACTCATTTTCATAGCTATAAAACAGGAGTGGCATTTAGGTGAATTTGTTGATCTCTATTTTTAAACCATTAAAATTATTTTTTAAAAATACTCAAGAATAATAAACATGACTTTTATACTTGGTTCTTGTTCAATCCATTGTCACAATCTCAAACCAAAGACAGATATACTGTGTTCAATTTCTGGTTATGACATATGAGCAAACATTCAGTCTCTCTGTAGCTTTTGACTATTACTTACTTTCATAATAAAGAAGATAATTTGCTATCTCATAAGATTGGCCTGGGAGCTTTCTTGGTCAATTTGTTGATTCCCTGTAGAAAAAAGAGAAGCTCATTTATAAAACAAATCCCAGAACAGACAGACATGAATACAATCCACTTATTCTACGAGTTGAATTTTTGTACTGTGCTAAAATAATTAGATTTTTTGCAGAGAAGTTTATTCCTTTTACCATACCTTCCCTAAATATTGCATCAATCAAGAATTAATTTATTTATGACTACAGGAAGTATGTCATGGTTTCTCTACTTGTTATACAAACGGGATTATAAATATCTGTCTACCTATCTCTCTATACCTATCTATCTATCTATCTATCTATCTATCTATCTATCTATCTATCTATCTACATGCCAAAATGTTATATTTGTAGGTTTTCCTGATAAAATACAAGGTATCCAGTTAAATTTGAAGTTCAGATAAGTTCAAAATATGAGTAGGGTAATTACGTACATGGAGCATATTTTTTCTCAAATAAATTACATCTCTTGACACTTCTATTTAACTGGACATTTTCCATATTAATTGTAAGACTGCAACAGCCTTATAGGCTTATACAGGATATCATCTCATTCATCTGTAAGTAAACACTGATGAGCAACTATTTAAAAGCACATACAGCCCTGTTCTCGCTGAATTTGCAATCAAATCCTTTCCATTGTTTCTTTCTTAATCAGTTCCTGCTAACATGCCTTTTACTTCTGAGACTTTAGGAAGGAGAGTAGAAAGAGGTAGGTGCTCATTTCAGATTGATTGCGGATCAATCCTTTAAATATTTGAGAAGCTATTATTCAGAGTTATATGTTCTCTGCTTTTAAATTAATTATCATTTTACGTGGGATTTAGAAGAATTTCTTATAAGAAGCAGAAACTTTTCTAAACAAACCAATATGTGGGCATTAAATCTTGTGAGTCTCAAAAATGAATAATTCATTTTTACGTAAATGAGAAATTATTTTGTGCGGTTACTTACACATTTGCACATGTATAGTTAATAGTCATTGGCGACACGGGGTATTAGTTGTGAATTGTGGTTTTCAGTATCGCAGACACATTTGTTGCTGTGGTTTCGCAATGCCGTTTCCTGATGCTTCGCTCAACTGTGGTTTTCATAATCATTGTTTGGGAGCCATGTAGCTGTGGCTTGGAGCTGCTAGATCCATTTGGACAGAGATAATTGCTTATAGGTTTTGCTGTCTTTTTATTTTATAACCACGGCGAGTTAAACAAGAGAAACTAACAATTGAACCTTAAATATAACTCATAATCTCATTTTAAAATGATGAGAAAATAGATGTAGGAGTATTCAGTTTATTTCATTCATATACATTTACTTCATTAATCAAATAAATATAATTTATTTCATTAACATACATATATTTATATGGTTATACATTTCGGTAAACCAATATACTGTTTATAATAACATACTCTGGTTATTTTATCAATCTTGTCTTAAATTTCCTGACTTTTGTTCCTTCCAGTTTTTAAAGCAAATGTTTAGCACAGATTTATTTGTTTCTTTTTTGCTTTGCATATTTAACTATTTCAGATGCCAAAAGAAACATTAACTGCTGTGTTATTTTAATTCCAGTGGACATTCCTTTTGGGTGATATAAGTCAGCCAATTCTGTCAAAGATCTGTGAAAACTGTAATGTACAATAAATTCAATTCTAAGATTCTCAGCATGCCAATTTATCGGTAATGAATTGAGAATGAAGGAGGCAAAAAGTCGACGTCTCCGTTTGCTTATTCACCCCACAACGTAAGTACCAATAACCATGCTTTTCATGGGACTTAGGATCTTAATTTGCTGCGTCTTCAGGGCAAGGACTTGGTCATTTAGTGCCTTTTCCATTGCAAAGGATCATGCACTGCACTGTTAAAACCTCATATGGCCATAGAGCTAATGGCAGTGTAATCAAAGTCACAATTGGTCTCCAGGCTGGTGTTAAGATTTGCTCAGCCGTACCTTTCATGAGGAAAAGCTTTACACCTTTAGAAGATGTCCTGATGGGATACAAAATGACAGCGAGTAGAGAGCTGCCTGCACAAGGAGCATCCTGCATTATGCTCCAGCAGTCCAGGCTCTGTGCTGACCCCAGACCCTTTTAGAGTATCATTTGATGATGCTCGTGTCTATGCTAGTCAAATAACAAAGGGGACACCATTTCAGGTCAGAGTGGACAATTTCACAGCCTCCTGGGGGAGACATTGGCAGTATCTAGGGAATGCATGTTAGCGATCATAGGAGTTTATTAGTAAACGCTATTTACATAAAGTAGCTGGTTCTGCACAGCCACATCCCTTCTCTCACACCTGCAAGAATTGCATTTAGTACTCAGTGTATCGGAAACTGTGTGAAACTAAGTGAACCCCTCTTACCTTAGCTTGACTCAAATAATGCTTTGCGATCGTTTCAAAACATGTTCTCTTGTGCCTTGCCATTTCCCAAACAGCAAACACACAACCAACAAAAAGGAAAGAAAACAGAATCCAATAAACGAAAGAACCAGGAAATAGTTGTTGGATCTTACCTGATTGAAAAATTATGACAATAACAAATCTTTTATTAGCTCCACGGTGCTTCCCTGTGTCAGAACTAAGAGAATGGAAGGTCACGGGGGCAGGGTGGAACTGCAGAACTTCCACAGACTTCACACAAAGTTAGCATTTCGTGTTAGAGCTCACAGTTCCTTTCCTACCTAGAGCGAATCATCCAGCTAACCATCGTCCTTTTGGATGTGAGGAAAATATCTGCCTGACTCCCGATTCGGGGATTTCACTATTTCAAATGGAAACTCTCAAGCAAGATGCCAAAAAGCTCTGTGAGTACAGCTCAGCACCCCATCCTTGTGGGCCCAGTGGGGGATGGTTGTTCGCGTCCGCAGCAGTCTCCGGGGGAACTCTGACAGCAATGAAATGGTCTCCTGAGAGCCTGGGCAGATGAGAGGACTTAACGGGCCCCAAGACACACAGTTGGCGTTTGTGATCAGCTGGCTTTCGCCGGGGACTTTGCCAGTGGCCTAACCTTCCTGCCAAGAAACTGGAAGGGCGGAGGGCGGGGGCTCCTGGAGGGGAGCGGTAACTGGAAGCACAAAGTTTATGGAAGGAGACTGAGATTTCTTTGTGCCCTGCTTGATGGGCGAGGCTTTAGGGAGGAGTGTCAGGGGGTCCGTTGGAAGAGGCTGTTGGAAGAAGTTGCTGGAAGGGGAGCGGGGGAAGGGTGGCCTGGCAGCTGCCCAGCATTGACGCGGTGACAACTGCAGAAAATGCCCCCCCCCCTCCAGACCTCACGTCTCCCTCAACCCCATCAACCCCTTCAACTCCCACCCACGCTGCGATCCCCTTGCACTCCACGCGACCGAGGCCCGGCCGTGAGTTTGCATCCGGACTGGCTTTGGATGCAGCCAATCCTCCTTTCGCTGATGGCATAGTCTCCCCTCCCCACAGCCCGGGCGCGCCCCTCCTTCGCGCGCCTCGCCACCTCCCGCAGCAGTGCGAGCGCGGCGCGGCCCGGAGCGGCGACGGCGGCGGCGCCTGAGTCTCTGCCCGGCAGCGGGGGACGCGGGGAGCAAGCGCGCACCTCCTCCCGCACCCTCCGCCCCTTGCAGTCCGGGTCCCCCTGAGTGCTCTCCTTCCCCTCCCTCCTTCTCTTCCTTCTCTTACCGCCCCCCCCCTTCCTCCCCTTTTCTCTCTGCCTGGCCGAGCGCTCCTAGATTCCCATCCTCCCCCCCCCCTCCAGCCCCATCGCTCTCCCCGTCGCCCCCTCCCCTTTCCCTGTGACACTCTCTCTGCCCCCCTCGCTCAGCTTCTCATTCGCTTGCTCATCTCCAAACGTGGATCCGCTGCTCCCGGAGGAGCCCAGCGCCGGGATCCCGCGCGCACGGAGCACCTGGAGTCCGGCCGGCAGCGGCCCCGAGCCTGATCAGCGGCTGCGGCTGAGACAGAGGCGGCGACAGCTCGGGGAACGGTAGCGGGGACCGCGGACACCGCGGTAGCCCCGGCGGCAGCGGCCGCGGCCGAAATGTCCCGGAGAAAGCAGAGCAAACCCCGGCAGATCAAACGTAAGTTTGCGCGCGGGGCTGGGAGTTAGTGGGGTCGGTTCCTGGGAGAGGGGCGCACGCGGCGGGAAGGGTAGGAAACGCTCGGGGCGACCGGCTTCTGGTCTTCGGGGATTTGTCAAACTTTGCTAGCAAAGTGGGACAACCAGACGGCCTCAGACAGACACACGGCCAGCCAGAGCGCAAGGCAAATGCAGCCCAGTCTGTACCTCCAGCCTTCGCGCTCCGCTCCTTGGTTTCTTGTGAATTTCAACTCTGGTTCCCTGCAATTGTCGCCGCTTTTTATCATGGAGCCTTAACAGGACAATCCCCTCCCGCAGAAGCTTAGTATGATTGTTGTCATTGTTGTCGCCCACCAACGGCCTGCCACTCATGGGAGCAGCTCTTGGTAACCGGGATGAAGTTCTCTGAGCAGCTGGTGGAGGCCACACCGGGCTAGAGAGGTAACTTACCCAGGGCGGTGGTGGAAAAAAATAAGTGTCTGGGGACCCGATCCTGGGCGGTGCCACAAGCCACGCCAAACCCGAAGTGAAACAAAAAGTAGGTGTAAAAGTTCGCGCCTCTCTTAGAGGCAGCTGTGCACCCTCTTCCTGCCGGCTCATGGTGCTGGGATGCGACCCAGGACTCCCAGTGGGTCCCTCTCTCACCGCAAGGACACTGGGCTGAGCAGACTTCAGTTTCCCTGAGGCGCCGAGTCCCCACTGG